ACCCGAAGCGCTCCAAGACGTCTCACCCGATGCTGGAATGTCGATATCTTCTTCTTCTTTATGGCCTTCAGAATCGGAACACGAAGATGTTTACCAACACTGAACGGAACTCCAAGATTCACTGGGGCCCATTCGCCAGCACCAGCAAGAAATCCAAGATGGCCCTGCACCACTTTCAGCAAACTCTGAGAATTTGCAGCCGCATGCATCTTCTGTAAGGCGAGGGGCACTTTCAACGTGGCATTGATGTGGTAGGCCATGGTCGCTGCCAAGGCCTTCAACTGAACAGCGCACTCAACAGGCGAGATGTGCCATGATTGGAGAGAGAGATCGTCGACATGCAAACCTTGGCGCGTACCTGGATGCTCCCTCCCGTGCATGATCGTGTTCCACATGGACGCTTTAGCTTCGTAGGTGGCAGAGGTGCTGCCCGCGACGATCCCTCGATTAGCATATAACGGCTGCGAATAAGCACCATCGAGGAGAAGAATTCTCTTCCACTTGTAAGTAGATAACGTATACAGCAACACATGCATTGGGAAACCCGAGATGACCCCCTGCTTGATCAGCTCCTGGCGCCCTATGTGCTCGTAGAATTGCTTGAGATCCCATAGAAGACTAGCCCAGCAGACCTTATCTCCAGTGGCTCGCTCAGCTTCAACCGACTGCCCCCAAACAATGCCCAAGCTGCTGCGACCCTGGCCCATGGAAAACTCAGGCCCAAGGCCAGCCCGAGCTTCCCAAGATCTGCATGGGTTCCGATGAGTTTTGCCATGCAACCTTTCGAAAGCATTGTAGTGCCCTACGGGCCTCCTTCCTTTGTCGGGACGGCCCATCAAAAACACAATAAGGCTCTGACTAAGTGTAGGCCCTTGCCCCAAGACATCCATAAGATGATACAACCAGGATGAACAGTCCAGCGCAGACTCCCCCATCATGCTGAAGTGCCTCGGGCGGAATCCATCGGGGCAACGGGTGAACTTCGGGAACCTCGAGCTGATGTACCGCAGGGTCCCGCCTGAAACAGGGCCTGGGACCTCGATGGGAAACTCGGGGGCCCACAAGTCACCTGCTCATCCTCCTCCTTGGCATTCCAAACTGCTTTCCAGATGCTAACTTCTTGGGCAAGACGAGCGGGCAGGCCACTAGAGAAAGAATCCAGGCTCGGTGCAACCTCTTCTTGCACTGGCTCTCCTGCACGTAAGAATGCGAAAGCTTGCCTACCTCCATTGTTGAGCGACTCTGAACACCAGGACTTCCAAGCTTCCCTGTCCCGAGTTCGTTCCTCCACTTGACCTTGGCGGGCCCACATGGCCACGAAATCCAGAGTCCACTTCAGAACGTCCTGGCGAGTTTCGCTGGGCCTCGGACACGTGAGTCGCTCAGCAATCGACGCCAAGAGAGGATGCCAGAAATCGCACCCCTTCTTCCAGAACCTGCGGAACGGGCCACCTCGTTGCGGAAGATCAACCCACTGCTGGACCAAGCGCTCACGGTAATCGTCCTTCCCAGTCTGGCCGAATAGGCACTGGAGCTCCTTGGCGCGGAGGATCACCCATTGTATCGCACGGCCAGGAAACGCTGAGTCACGTTTCCGAGTACCAAGGAGCCGATCTAGCCGCGTCGCTTTCAACTCAAACGGACTCCCTCCAGGCAAACCTGCCCCTTGAGCCTGTGTAACGTCAACAACCTCACTCCAGGCCAAAGGGACCCACTTCTCGTATATTTTATTCAGAAGCTCGGCCCCACGTTCCCCCTCAACCCCTCTGGCCATAAACGTGGTCCCAGAGTCCCCAAGCCTCGGCTCCAAGAAGTCCTTAAGCTCCTTAGTGAGGTCCGAGAAATCCCTGGGCTCACGAGCGGGCCCAATGCCTCTGACAGCAGGGGCCTTCAGGTACCTCTTGGGGACAGTGACGTAGATGTCTCGAATGGCCTGCTTAATCGTGAACTCGACGGGCCTGTGGGGGCTGAACGGGGCCTCCAGATCCACCGCCACCTTGGGAATGGCGTTGTCTAAATTCATGCGCACCACGAAATAGTCCAAGACAGCCCCCACGCCTGGCACCACATAAGTCGGGTCTCCTGGGGCTCTAACGACAGCAAGAAGGTACTTCACAGGGGTCCCGTCGGCGAGGGCGCTCGGGGACATGTTGAAGTCCCCCCCCAATGATGTAAGGGACACCGTGCCGAAAAGTGTCATCCCAGGTGTGCTGCATGGTCTTCACGTTATCTCCTTTGAAGCCAATGGAGTCCTGGAGGCAGGTAGAGTAAATCGCTAGGACTCCGATTTCAGAACTGCGAAGAAAGCACCGCGCAACCCTGCCCGCTACAACTTCAGCAGACTCCCATGGGGCAAGAAAAGCATCATAATGCCTTCTGACACACACCATGGTCCCACTCGAGGGATATCCAGCTTCGGTGTACTGACATTCGGTCCCAAATACCTTCCATCCACCCTTCTGCAGACGATTGATTGTCTCCCGATAAAGGGCACCTGCAAGATGATGTTCTTGAAACAAAACAATGTCAGCGCCTGTCTCTCTAATCATGTCGTTGAAACCAGGAGTAGAGCAACTAGCGGGGCGTTCCAGATCTTCACTGCCATTAGATTCGGCAACCCAACTAGAGCCATTGAAGTAATTACGCGGAGATTACGTAGTCTATCACGTCGGCGCCGAGAAACCGCCTTGGGTTGGCACGGCGATGCGACAGTCATGTCGATACGCCTGGCTTGACAACCTTGAGTCAGACATTGACTTCCAAGAATGATTGGGTCTCGTGTCACATCAACTGGCACACCTGAGAGACTAACCCGTCCCCTGTCTGGATAATATGACGGATGGCGGAGGCTAAAGACCATCTGTAAGATCATCACCTCCAGCAACCTCCCAAATAGCATTGGGGTGCGCGTAGTCCGCCATGGCAGAGAGGGCACTCGCTGTACGCTTGCCCCCACGACCTGGCGCCCTGAACCTAGGCTTCTTTGCGGCAGCCTTGAGAGAGTCGATGATCTGGCGCTTGGCAGCTTCTGGAACCCCTTCCACTTCCATGGCAGCATTGACATCAGCTTCATCCAAGCCCAATAACGACTCCTCATCAACGTCGACCGTGGCCGCAAAAGACGAGTCGAAGGCCTTAACGAACTCCGTGTACTTGGCTTCCAATCCTGAACGTGCCTCAGCATGTTGGAGGCCCCCCAAGAGAGTCTTGAAACCATCCATGTGAGCGCGCAGGGCTTCGATATCTGGAACACCAGGAACAACTTTGGCGGCGGCCACCTTGCGAGCTTCCTCCACAGCGCGACGCTCCTCGGTGATGGCCAGCTCCAGCTCCTTGCGCTTGACATCAAGCTCGGTGATCTGTCCCACCACAGCGGCGTGGGTGGACTCAAGCTTGTCGATCTTCGAAAGCCTCCGAGCCTCCTCCTGTTCAGCGCGGTGGAGGAAACGAGACAAAGGAAGTTGATCCTGATGGGCCTGCTTGGCCTCGGAGTAGGCAGTGGAAATGGCGTCGATCGACCCCTGAGGCAGCAGGTCCTTGAAACGGCCCGTGGTGCACAGCTGCTGAAAACGATGGAGCTCATCCATCGCGGTCCTCGGTTGGCCTCGAGCCTGAGATGTTGCAGAGTCGGACAGTGAGCCTCCTCCTCTGCGTGCCCCACCAGCACCTCCTTTCCCTCGACCTTTGGGCCCCTTTCCACCTCCGTCCCACCATTGCGCAGGGACCCATGGGTTCCGCGTCCATACACCTCCAGGTGGCGGGGGAGGGCTGACGACTTGCCCAAAACGAGGGAGATCACCGCGGCAGTGATAACAAAACTTGAAGTGCGCAGGGTTCTTTTTGCAACCACACTGTGGACAGGAGAGTCCCTTCTCATAGTCGGAATACCGCCCTCCAGAGCGGACCATCCCAAGACTCGCACTGGAAACGAGAGGCGGACACTGGAATCCGCAGGATGCTGGGCTCTGAGGTGGCCCCTGCCAGAGAGAAAGATACCGCAGAATACCTCGTCTGACCAGGCAAACGAGGGGCACTGTGGGGGCCGCGACTCCCCCTTTGCCAGTGAGGTCAGGTCCTGAGCCAAAACGGCTCCGGACTTGAGCCAAAATGGCTACGGCTCCCTCCTCTTCCTCCTCCTCCTCCTCCTCCTCCTCCTCCTCCTCCTCCTCCTCCTCCACCACCACCACCACCACCACCACCACCTCCACCTCCTCTTCCTCCTTCTCCTTTTCCTCCTCACCCTCCTCCACCTCCTCTTCCTCCTCCTCTTCCTCCTCCATAGTCCTCGCTAATTGTCCACCCTCTCCGCTTCTTCTTTCTCCCCCGCGTGTTCCCCGAAGGGGTTCCACAACGGTTGGGGGAACACATGGTCGGATAGCTTGGCAGAGCTCTGGCCACAACGTTCGGCCATTTGGGCGATTCCAGGAGGTAGGTAGTGGCGTTGATTCGCCGTAGGCGTCTTCGATAAAGAACGCAAGATAAGAAACGAAGGGGCATTGGTGGCCATGGCGACTGTCGGCCACGAATAGGTTCCCCGACCTGGACCTGAGGAACGGCACGAAAGCCAGAGTTCCTCCTGAGCCAAAATTATTTTTTGTGTGAGAAGGAGAGGGGAGCGGACCACTGCAGACGATGATGGCGGGCAGGCGAATGTGAAACCACAGAGCGGGAAAAGTTGAGTCCTGCGAGCGCGGCCGGAATTCGGGCCTCCTCCTGAGCCCGAAATGGTCCTTGTTTAGGCATCTCGACTTAACTAACCAGTGCCAGTGCTGAGCTAGAGGATCAAAAACTGCATAAACATAAACTGCTTGAGGTCCGCGCGGAGCTCTTTGGATCGGTGCTGAATCCACTCGCTGGCGCGCGGAGCGCGCCGGCCTCCGCCAGGGGGCCCCAGCCTAGATCCAAGAATCCCGCGCGGAGCTCAAGAAGTTTACGCGTAAGTATGCAGTTGCCGTCATCGATGAGCCAGCTCAATCTCCCAGGAATTGCGCCCTGACCACCCTGCCAGCCGCGCCAACCCCGCCTCCGCAAGCTCGGCCAGCAGGCCCCGCGGCGCCCCGCTGGTGATGTCGAGCATCTGCAGCCAGCGCCCCTCCCTCCCCTTCAGGGAGCACAGCCTCTCGAGCATGTCTCGAAGAAGAGATAACGACACGAACACAAACTGTCGACGGTCCGCGCGGATTTCCTGGGTCTGCGCTGGGGTCTCCTGGCGGCGCCTCCGGCGCCGCCCCTGGCGCGCTCTGTCAGGGAGCGGGGCCCGGCGGCGATCCAAGAAATTCATGTTCATATCGGTTTTCTTCTTCGAATGTCGGAGAGCTCGTCCTCGTCGGAGATGCCGGCCTCGGACGCGTGCGCGCGAGCCTGCTCGACCGCCATGCCGCAGACCTGGCACTGCACGTGCGCCGCCAGCTCCCCAGGCGCCGCGACGGCCACCGGCGCAGCCAGCAGCAGCGGCAGAAGCACGCGCGGCGGTGAGACATTGGCCAGACGTCGCGCCACGGAGCCCGCCGCACCCAGCATGGCCGCCGCGTGCCCGCGCACAAACACCCCGGGGGGATAGAGACAAAGTGTCTGCGGGTCAACCACGGTAGCCAGCAGGGATACTACATGAGCAGAAGCACGGGCTCCAAGAATCCCCCCAAGAGGGCCCCGAGAGGCCAAAAGCTTTGATTTCCCCAGGGCTTTTGAATGATTCTAGCGTTCTCTCCTTTCTGGGTTCTCGACGCTCAAGATTGCCCCAAGACAGCCCAGAGGCCCACAAGAGGGCCCCCAGACGGCCCACCCAAGAAGCCTCCAAGACGGCCCCAGAGGGCCAAAAGAGGGAGAGCGCGAACCGACATTCGCCAGCCTCCCAGAAGTTCCAGGAGGCCCCAAGCAGGCCCCAAGGCAGCCCAACGCCGCCTCCAAGAGTCTTCCAGAGAGACCCGCACAGGCACACAAGAGGCCTACAACCCAGGCGCGGTGGCGGGATGGGCCGAAGGTCCATACATATGTATAGAATTATAGATGTCTATAGATACACATGCACATGTGTATACATAGTTATCTAGACACCTGCATCGATATGTATATACGTAAGAGCATGCTAACGTGGAAGTATAATGCAGCATAATTGCTTGGATAAGTGCACGTGTGGATATATACCAAATAACATATATATGTATAGTAGCATGCGTGTGGACATACATATACACATATGTGGATGTGGATGTATATGTGTGCGCATGCATTTATGTGTATGCGTGCGTACGTGTGTGTATGCATGTGTGTATGTGTATGTATGTGTGTACGTATGTACGTATGTATGTATGTATGTATGTATGTATGTGTGTAGGTAGGTAGGTAGGTAGGTAGGTAGGTAGGTAGGTATGTATGTGTGGATGTATGTATGTATGTATGCGTGGATGTATGTATGTTTGTGTGTATGTGTGTATGTGTGTATGTATGGATGGATGGATGTATGCATGTATGTGGTATGTATGTGCGTATGCATGTGTGTATGTATGTAGGTGTATGTGTGCATGTGTGCATGTGTATACATTGATTTGGGTATGTGTGGAGGTATGTGTGTATGTACGTACGTACGTGTGTACGTTTGTGTACAGATGTATGTGTGCATGTCTGAGTATAACTATGCATGTATGTACAATTGTGTTTGTTTGTGTGCAGGTCTATGTGTATGTACGTATGCGTGCATATATGCATGTCTGCGTCTACGTGAAGACAGGTATGTGTATGAAAGTAAACATGCATCTGTGCTTGTGCACATACATGCACAGAGGCAGTCATGCATACCTGTCTGCATGCATACAGACTAACATGCATACGCGAATGCATACGAATATGCAGTTCCATATGTATATGAATATATATATATATATATATATATACTAGAACCATCGCGCGCGCTTCGCGCGCGCTCAGGTTCTAGCCCAGGCCGGGGGGGCGCTGGACGGTCTTGGACAACGCTATCAAGCACAGGCGCGCGACGGCATCTGAGGAGCTTCTGGGGTGTTCCGCATGCTTCGTCAACTGGCTGTTGGAGGCACCTCTTGGGTGCTTCTTGGGGGGGCGTCTGAGGGTCCCTTGGGGGCATCGGTTCTGCAATCTGAAGCCGTCATTGGCCGTCTTGGCTGCGTGGAGGCCCGACTTGAGGCCACCTGCGGCCAGATTGAGGCAATCCGGAAGCCTCCCGGGGGCCTCCTGGAAGCAGTTTTGACGCATCGAGGGCACTCTTGGGCTATTTAAAGCCTCTTGGACGTCTCCTAGGGGCCTTTTAGGCCCTCGGGAAGCTTTTGGGGTCCTCGTCGGACCACTTGGGGGCCTCTTGCAGCCTCCTGTGGGCCTTGTGGGGGGACCGCTCTGCTGTTGGGTCGCGTTCCCCTTCTTGGGCCTCTCTTGGGGCTCTTGGGGCCCTCTCGGGCCGTCTTGGGCGCCTCAAGCACCGTCTTGGGGCCCTCGCGGGCCGTCTTGGGGCCCTCTTGGAGGCCTCTTCCTCTATGTGGGAGCGGTATTGGAAGCCTCTTGGGCCGTCTTGGAGCATCGGGATGCCAGAAGGCCGAAAAATACCCGTCAAAGCCCAATCGTAAAACAATGAATTGTGCCTCTTGGGGCCACCTTGGAAGATCTCTTGGAACCTCGTCGACCCACTTGGGAGCTTCTTGGGGGCCTCCTGGATCCGATTGGCGGCCTCTTGGGACTTCCCGAGAACCTCTCGGGGTAGAAAGCTCGGATTTTCGGGTCGTGTTTCCCTTCTTGGGCCTCTCTTGGGGCCGTCTTGGGGCCCTCTCGGGCCGTCTTGGGCGCCTCAGGCACCGCCTTGGGGCCCGCCCAGGGCCCTCTTGGAAGCCTCTTCGACTATCTTGGAGCTGTCTGGGAGGCCTCTTCCTCCTCCTCGTCCCCCTCCTCCTCCTCCCACTCCAGCTCTCTCTCCTCCTGATCTTCCTCCTCTTCCTGCAGCGTGTTCCGGAAGGCTCCCGCCGGAACATGCTGTGCACAAGTGCTGTCACTGCTCCCGCCACAGTGCCCTGGGTGGTGGGTCGGAGGCCTCATGGGTGTTGTTGGTTTGGATCTCGTGGTTGGCCTGTCGGGGACGTCGTGAAGGCAATTTCGCAGCTTCTCGGTAGCCGTTTTGGGACCGTTGTGGGGCCTCCTCGGGGCTGGTTTGTGGCCTCTTGAGGCCTCGTTTGGGCCTCCTGGGTGCCTTTGGGGGGCCTCCTGAAGCCTCTTGGGGGCTCCTTGGGGCCTCCTGGGACACTCTTCAAGCGGGAGGGTCGAATTTTGGAGTCGTGGTCCGCCTGTTGGGCGGGCGCATTGTGGGGCCGTCTTGGGGCACTGTTGGGATGTCTTGGGCGACTCTGGGGCCGTCCTGGGGCCCTCTTGGGCCGTCTTGGGGCGCTCTTGGGGGCCTCTTGAGCCGTCTTGGAACGTCGGATAGCCGAAAAGGCTGGAAGGCCAAAACCGTTCGAAAATCTTCGTAAAATTGACGATTTCGGCCTCTTGAAGCGCTCTGGAGAGGCGTCTTGAAGCGTCGTGGAGTGCCTTGGGGGTCCTCTCGGGCCGTCTTGGGCCTATCTTGGGCGTCCTGGAGCGGTCTTTCGGCGACTCGGGGCCCGCTTGGGCCGTCTTGGGAGCCTCTGGAGGCCCTCCTGGACTATTTTGGACCTCCCCGGCCGCCCCCCCGTCCTCCCACGGGGGGTCGGAGGCGGCGGCCTCCGAGGCCCAGGACGCGAAAACCCTTTCAAAAACATAGGGAAAATGAGCCCCGGTACCCCCATGGAGGCTCTTCGGCGCTCTTGGACCGTTGAACATATACGACTTTGGCCTCTTCGGGCCGTACTGTGATACCTATCAGACTTCTTGGGGTCTCTTGGAGGCCACCAGGGAGCATCCTTTCGCATTCTGGGGGCTCCTGGGGGGCGGGGGCTCCTGGGGGGCGTCTTGGGCCCTCCTGGAGCGCTGTGGAGGCTGCCCGGAAAGGCTAGGGCAGCGGTGCCGGGAGAGTCCCCGAGATGTGGCCATATCTTTTCAGCGCGTTCCAGGAGCATCTTCCCGGAACGCGCTCGTGGCAGGGCGCCCACGTCCGAGGACGTTGGCATGGGAAACCGCAGCGCGTGATCATTCCATCGCGTTCCGGCGAAAACCGTCCGGAACGCGCTTGGGCAAGCGCTGGGTTTGGGGAAGGCGAGTGGGAACCGTTCAGGCAGTTTGGGATGCTCGGGGCAAAAGGCGGAAGCCATCCTCATAAGACATGCAGTCTTCCTGGAGCCGTCTTGCAGAAAACACAAGAAAAATGAGACCCTGCAGTCGTTCCTGCAGCCGTCTTGGAGCCCTCTTGGGCTGCCCTGGAGCCTGTTGGAGCCCTCTGCGGAATGGTCTTGGAGCCCGCGCCGAGGATCTGGAAAATGTCCGGGACCATCGCGGCGGCCTCCGAGGCCCGGGACGCCGAAACCCCGTAAAAACACAGCGAAAATGAGCCCCGGTACTCCATGGAGGGTCGGGCAGCTGTTTTCGGGCCCATGGGCTAGAACCATCGCGCGCGCGCGCTTAGCGCGCGCTCAGATTCTAGCCCAGGCCGGGGGGGCGCTGGACGATCTTGGACAACGCTATCAAGCACAGGCGCGCGACAGCATCTGAGGAGCTTCTGGGGTGTTCCGCATGCTTCGTCAACTGGCTGTTGGAGGCGCCTCTTGGGTGCTTCTTGGGGGGACGTCTGAGGGTCCCTTGGGGGCATCGGTTCTGCAATCTGAAGCCGTCATTGGCCGTCTTGGCTGCGTGGATGCCCGACTTGAGGCCACCCTGCGGCCAGATTGAGGCAATCCGGAAGCCTCCCGGGGGCCTCCTGGAAGCAGTTTTGACGCATCGAGGGCACTCTTGGGCTATCTTAAAGCCTCTTGGACGTCTCCTAGGGGCCTTTTAGGCCCTCAGGAAGCTTTTGGGGTCCTCGTCGGACCACTTGGGGGCCTCTTGCGCCTCCTGTGGGCCTTGTGGGGGGACCGCTCTGCCGTTGGGTCGCGTTCCCATTCTTGGGCCTCTCTTGGGGCTCTTGGGGCCCTCTCGGGCCGTCTTGGGCGCCTCAAGCACCGTCATGGGGCCCTCGCGGGCCGTCTTGGGGCCCTCTTGGAGGCCTCTTCCTCTATATGGGAGCGGTATTGGAAGCCTCTTGGGCCGTCTTGGAGCATCGGGATGCCAAAAGGCAGAAAAAATTAAAACCCGTCAAAGCCCAATCATAAAACAATGAGATGTGCCTCTTGGGGCCACCTTGGGAGATCTCTTGGGCCGTCGGCAGCCGTTCGCCGTCAGTCGTCGTCGTCATCGTCGTCGTCGTCGTCGTCGTCGTCGTCGTCGTCGTCGTCGTCGTCGTCGTCGTCGTCGGTTCGTCGTCATTAACTCCTTCGTCGGTCGTCGTCGTAATTATCCCGCTCGTCGACCGTTGGTCGTCCAATGTCGTCGTCATCGTCCATTTCAACAACAATAGCATCAGGATCGCCCCGGATCGGCGGCACTGGCCGGAGGCCACTACAACATATACTAGAACCACGCGCGCTTCGCGCGCTTAGGTTCTAGTCACGGC